TGATCAAATAGCATAGAAAAATAGAACATTCTTTTCTCTATCAGACTATATAAAAAGAAAGTTTCTTTAACCTTTCTATAAGGGATAAAAATACCACTGCCACTACTTTTGGTATGCCCTAAGTACAAGAAAGTTTATGCATGTTCACGCATGTGCACCATTGTTGCATTATATTCCGAACAACATTTCGACAAAGTTCGAGCTGAAAAAACGTTAAAAAGTTTAGAAAACCTACTATGCTCACGATGGATTTTGAGAAAATTCTCCTGGTGTGGAAAACGTTTATTTTCGCCGGTGTCTTAGATCTAATCTATCACATTTTGCTTTCCTATTTACTGCTAAAACACGTGTTTGTTAAATTCTCAATCAATCAAGTCTCTTATCCTATTCTTCAGCTCAAAAAATAGAATTACATCAATTTTTGCATTAATTATTTCTCCACGATTGCCATGTCCTGTGATTGAGAATAATATAGCGTTAAAAAGCCTTGATATCAAAGCTCATCTATTTAACTGGCAAATAATCCGCTCTTCATTTTTTACCTAAATGTCTGCATCAATGTCCACTGCGCCGGGTCTTAAGGGTACCCCCTCTTTTTTGCAAAAAAAACTTTTCATTTTCAGCTGATCGTAGTCTAATGTAGAGGAAAGTCTGAGCTATACAATGAGACCACTCCCAGCTCTCCACGATCTTCCTAGAAAAAGTTATGAAGTTTTTAATTTTTTCCTTTAAAGCCTAGAAAATCTTAATCTTTTAGTTTTGTTAGCCTTTCTCTCCTTTCCCTATATATTCAAATTTTTTCTTATAAACAACATGATAGAAGAAAGTGTGCTGTTCAAAATGAGACGTTTTCCAGAGTTTTCCGATGAGTTTTCATGGAAAACAGTGGCCTGTGTACAATATGTGTCTTTCTTACTATGCGTTTTTTCGATAGTCCCTTCAATCGGGTCACATTACGACCCCTCAAAAAAATGGTCCGATTCAGCTGAAATTTTTACCACAGATACTTCAGACCCTATTTCAGGTTCGTGTTTTTTTAAGCGTTTTTGATTTCAACTTTCGGTGTGAGAAGGTTTTTAAAATGAAAAAGCGTTTTTTTACACAGGATTTTTAGTATTTTTCGAATATCCCGAGAAGGAAAGCATATTTTTCGTAAAAAACAAAATAAACCTGAGATAGGCTCTAAAGTATCTGTGGTAAAATTTCCACTTCGATTAGACTGTTTTTTCCAGGGGTTGTAATGTGACCTAATGGAAACTAGAGTTTTCCACAAAAACCGTAGAAGAACATGTCAGAAAATTCTGGACAAAAATATATCGGTCTTCTTTTTCGACGTTCTATCGCTGGTATAATTTTCATCCCGATCAAACATCGGTTTCTCTGGTTATTAAGAGGGCCAAAAAAGAGAGAGGGTACCCTCAATGGGCGAACCAAGCGGTGTAACGCCTACTGCTACCCATAGTGAAACCAGAACCGTATGAAACAAAGGTAGTGTTCATCAGTCAGATTCAGCGAGTGGTGGGGATCACCTACCAGTCCTTCAGATGAACTTAGATGAGTGGCATGACATCTGGCTAGTGGCACGTGGAAACTTAGGCTTAGAAACGTGAATCCTGACTTTATGTGGTCAATGTATCTGGCAAGAAGCAACAGAGAAGTTAGTCACGGTGTAAAAAATGTGAGAGTTATTCCTAGAGTAGTAACGTGTGATGTACGATGATGATAATATTCTTACAACGTTTTGAGTCGAATGCTCAATAATCCCATATTTTTTTCGATTTACTTTTGTCACTAGTGTAGAAACATTTTGAACTTCTCACCTTAATGCATATTTATCTGGTAATAATTCTTCATTTTTCTTGTCCAATCTTAAACATAAAAAATTTGAAGCTATTTGTTCAATTGATTGATTGTATATAATTAATGTTGATTGTTTATCATATACTAGTTGACGATGATTATTATTATTTTCACTTGCTGTTATTGCTGCTGTTTGTTTAATTAGAAAATGTAAATAATTATAATCAATAACATATTCAGAATCGGTTAATTCACAATTAACATAACATGTGATAGTTGTTGGTGTAATATGTAAAAATAAAATATCAGTTAATAATGATGAATTTTTTTGTATATCATTTGTTTTATCACCATATAGAATTAAATTTGTTCGATTATCATTTGTACTTATATGAAATAATCGTTCGGTATGATAAAATGATATTTGAAATTTATAATGTGTTAAATTTACGACTGTTTTAATTCCACTTTGATTTTGAATTATATTAGGTTTATAAATAATTGTTATACTATCAGCGGATGATGTTGATTGTAAACTATTGTTGTTACCATGTCTTCTTGAACGTTGTTTGCGTTTTTGTACCTTTTCAATAACATGTTGCATTTTTCGTATTAACGGTCGACTGATGGTAGAATTGGATGTTTTATTTAAATTATTACTGTCATATGGAAGATTTTTACAACCAAATTGTTCAAATATTGATTTATTATCATCATCCGATGAAATATTTAACAATTTAATGCCATTTGATATTGATACAATGTCAAATGTTTCACCAATATCTGAATATAGATAATATGAATCTATTAACTTACAATTGACATATGTTTCTAATTTCATTTGTTTGAGCAATATAAATATAATTTTATGAGTATTATAAGATAAATCTGCTCGTTCAATATTCAATTTAATATTTACTGCTGGTGTTTTATTTGATATATCAATATCGATAATTCGTTCATATGTTGATATTGAAAATGTGAGTAAATGTTGAGTATTTGTTTTTAATTTAAATAATTGCTGAAGAAAACCAGGAAAATTCATTTGATCAAAAACAAATAATTTATAATTATTTTTCATTAAATCGGATGTTGCTGTTAAATTATTAATTTCAACACTATTCTTAATCACATAGAATAGACATACAACAATAATTAACTTCATTGTTGCAAACCAGTTACTTTTTAAGAATGTTCTTGTTTTTAAAATGAAGGCCAAATACAGTCTTGATGCTGTTTTGAATACTAAACGATCATTTTACATTTATCTTTTTTCTGTGTATATGTTTGTTGTTATCAACTTAATTGGTTACAAGAAAAAAAAAGTAAAATTTAGTTTTTTTTTTTTTCTTTTTCTGTGTTGAATACGAATAAAGAGATGAGAATAATGAGAATAAATTTGATGTGATTCATATTTAATGTGAGATGAATATTTCAAATTAGAAACAAATCAAAAATTTATAATAGGTTCATATGTAGAGAAGAAGTAGATGAAGTTTGAACACAGATGTAGTTCAGACATTTGAAAATAGAGTGTCGTATCAAATAAAATTAAAATTGTTTATCATTTCCAGACTGCTCCATATCTGAAAGAATATTAGAGTGCTGATTTCTGTTTAAAATCACGAATTAGATAACAGAACTGATATATTTAAACTGAAGAAATTCATGTCAAGTTGACTGTATGTATATCAATCGTTAAAAGTTTAGAGTTTTATTTGTTCTAAATATGATTGTAAACTGGCGAGTGAATACAATTAATTCAGTGGATACTTTGTGAAACAAGTACATCTTTACCATCGTTTCTAATTGTATCGTAATTCCGATTCTACAGTTTAGGCTGACTTCAATTACAGTCAAGATCTTACATGAAAATGTTAAAATTCCTGTTTATGATCGAAAAAAAATTTATGAAGCGGGTGCTTGTACCTAGATTAAAAGTACATTAATCTAGCTTGAATCTAGCGGTAGTGAAATATATGAAAATTTCGTCTAGTTGCATCTAGATTGCATTTTAACTGAATGCTGTTGATTGTCTGATGAGTCAATCGATGCAGTGACCACTTTAGTTAGAATACAATTTTAATCAGCATGCCACGAGATAAATGTTTGATTTATTCTAGTTGCGTTCATGTGCTGCAGCTAGATTTTACTTAGCTTATATAATTGGAAGAATACAATATGTATAATTAATAAAATTCATTATTCACTGACTAACTATTGTTAGCATGACTGTTGCTACTCTAGAGACAGGCTGAATTGAGCAAGCACAAACGCTTTGCACAGGTGCAGTGAGTACTAGCGTTGTTGATTCTGTTCAACAACATTTTATATTTTACGAAGAAAGTAATAGATGTTTACCATTACTATTTTTAAACAAAATTTTGACTTTTATGCATATACATATTAAACAAATTAGATGAACATTACGCGTAAGAAATAACGCTATAATATAGATCTATAGTCTTAATTATGAGCGATGTTTGTTTTTGTTATTGACGATTTAATATATTGTTCAGTTGAATAACCACTTAATTCTGTTTTAGATGAATTTAAAGTCATGTTTTTTAACTGTTCAACATCTGAATTATAACTATCATCATCATCATAACTTGATTGTCGATCTGTTGGATATGGCCACGTATAATGTAAATAAAGAAAACCGAGAAACAAAACAAATGGTACAAATATAATAGAAATAGTAATAGACACTTTTCGAATTGTTTCGATATTACCAACAAATTGCTTATTGTTGTCGTTTAGTGATGTCATTGTCATCATACAACAAATATTCTCCCGTTGTGCATACAATTAAGAAACAGTACTGATTAGATTCTGAAATCGGTGTACATACTAAATTACAAACAATATGAGCTTAAGCTGATTATTGCCATTCGATGACTTTTTATACCACTGATATAGATACACTTTCTAGCACTAAATATATATTTATTTATTTATTAATGTCTGTGATAGTCAAATATTCTTCTTAAACATTGCACACTGGAAATTGTCCATTTTCGGAGAACGTAGATATTTCATTATCGTGTGTTACATAGAAGAAAGATAATAAATACACATATTTCGCGCCTGCATGGACATTATTATTAGAAGAATGAGTCATTTCGTTCTTCTATATGATTCTCATTCAAAAAACTACTATTGTATTTCATAGACTAAGAGACTGAAACAGATCTTTTTCAAATGTAAATTGAACTGATAATAGCTTCAAAATATCCTTTTTTTTACATAAGAATTTGTGATAATAACACAAAGTATACATGACAACAATGTGTAATGTTTTCTTTCAAAAAACTACATCCTTCTTCATTTACGTCATTTTAATAGATATAATGATAAAAATTAATTAAGCGAGATAGACAAGGAAGTCTGTTGCTTATATGAAATTCTGTGTGTGCTTCTAATTGGACTTTTCTTGTTCTACGAAAACCCGAACAAATAACCCTACATTCATTCAAGCAAAATTGACAATTCAATACTGTGCCATGTTCAGTTCACTTTGCTTTATGCACGGAATCAAAATGATTTTATTGACTTAGTAACTTGGGACTGGCGAAAATAAGGAATAGAATGTCTCTTGTATTTTCAACTTTTGACACAGACGCATACTTTTTCTCCATCCTTTGAAATAATCATTTGATAGAGCACGAAAAGTTGATCATATACTATATTTTTTGCATTCGTGCAGCGATTTCTTGAGTAGTAATGACAATGATGATACGTAAAAGAAGATTTCTGGTTCTCATTTTGATTTTTCGCCTACTTCAGATAGTGGAAAGGATTTTTTAGAATAAAGCTACCATTTTTATGTATATCTGACGTGTTTTAAAAATTTTGAAATGAGTTTTTGTACTAATACAAGGGTAAAAATTTTAAAGCGCAAGATGACGTCAATATACAGTAAAGTTATTTAGTTTCCTCGTGAAAGACATGATTTTTTTCAAATTTCAAGGTGGTATTCGTGAGCTCTCTTGCTTCCATGAGGTTTTTTTTGGTTGATTGGCTAATCGATCCATCACAGTTCATGGCGGTTGTAGAGAAAACTGCGATTTCATAGCGTACAATTGTGATATGATTCAATCACGATTGTGCACTATGAAATCGCAGTTTTCTCTAACTTGATACATATGAAGGTCGTTCATAGCTGCTATATACTTTGTATATATTTAAGATGAGGACCGACATGTGAAATATCTCACACTGGAGCATTTAAACGTTGAATTGTTGGATGGAGCAAGTTCAATAAGTTTGCAGTACAATAGGGATGAAAAGCACTAACGGGAATAGTGTTTTTGCAAAACATATCAGTAAGATTGTTTGTTCGCACGACGATTAGATCAGAGACAACAAAATGTGAATAATACACAACCTAAGATTTTGACACGATTATTAATTACAGAATTTCAATTTTATAGATGGTATCTGCTTCTTTTCTTAACGCCAATTTTGATGTACGTTATGTATTCTGAATTCCGTCGCAATGTGACAAAGTATCACATGATTATTCTATCGAGATCACTGCTTCGCTATCCATAAGAGCTAAATAATGTTTTACAGCAGCATCAAGGCACTAAAATATTAAAAAAATCGCTTATTTCTCGTGGCTTGGAATATACAAGTAGAGTGACACCAGGCACTAAAAGATAGGCAGGAGGATACTACAATCATCGTGTTTTCATGTTTATTGTAGCTTTTGACTGAAGATTAGGCCTTAATACTCGATCAGCTGTTTTTTCGTTTGAATATGATGTAATAATTTTGAGGTATCTTTTTTTGTTCATAACAAAAAACATGAAGATATCCAATAACTATTTTCTTTTACACTTTCATCAGACTATCTCGTGTGTATAGCAACATTTTTGATACACGTTTCACACATCAAATATGAATTCAAAATTTTTTCTATAAAACTTTATTAGATTCATGTTGTGGTTGAACAGGATGTTGATTTCCTAAAAATGTCAATGGTGATGACGGACGTGGTAGTGTTGATGTTTCCCAAGGGGGCACAATTGGTGTTCTTGCTCGAGGATAGCCAAATGGAATATTTGGCATTGGTGAGGATGAATATAAGACTCGTGTTGGACGAATGTTATTATTATTATTATTTGTTGTTGGTTGATATTGTTTTTCAAATGCATTTAAATTAACATTAAAGCCATCCCATGTCACACCATTTCCATGCGGTTTATGTGTGGAAGGTAGTAAAACTTTTCTACAAAATTCTCTCAATGTTCGTGCACCAAAAAATATTTTCCAATTTTCTAAACGTCCAAAATCATATGGATTAACAAACAGATAGCCTTCTTGAGAACATTGTTGACGATATTCAACATTTAACATTCGTTCTAATGACGTTTCTCCATGCATTATCATATTAGCATGCCATAAAATTAGACCAACCAGTAATATACTAATAGTTAATCCTGCTATAAATATATAATAGGTAAGAAAACCAACAATGTCTAATGTTTCCAAAATTTCGAATGCATGAAATATACAATTTGTTTGTGAAAAACGTTTTTCGCCTATAAGGCCAATTTGATATTCTCGAAAACCGAAAATACCAGCATAGAAGCAGCCAGCTGACATATAACAACAAAACTGAAAAAAATAGCGATGATTTGCCCAGCCAACACAATTATCTAACCCTAAATGGATAAAAACTAAATATAGCTTGCTCACATTTCACTTTCACTTCATTCTATTTTCTTACAAGGACAATGATGATCGAAACGTAACACACACTTATCACACCAACGACAATGATGAGTTCTTGGTGGTTTATGATAACTACATTTTTTACATGCAGGATATTGGGTAGCTAATGGTTGAAAATCTTTTGCATAGCCTGGTGATGTTAACCATGCCATCATATAATTAAAATAAATATTGATCATTAACCAATTACCAAATATAAAATGCCATATAAATTTTGGATATGATTCATTTATGACACTTCGAGCAATAGTTGTGTAGTAGACATAGACAATATACGTTGTTAGACCAAAAAAAATAGTGATACACAGATAGCCTATAGAATGTGCGAGTAATTTACGAGATCGAACAGACATTCCTATCTTTTTCCAAAAGTATTTTCAATCACTTATTATAGAATTTCTTAAATTGCACCCAATTAAAAAGTTCACATGTAAATATATATATATATATATGACGTTGATGACTAAGGGATAGGTTATACTTGTCTCTCACTATGTAAAAGCTACGGTTCACTGACTTTAACAGGTCAATAGAAATAAATGATACAAACAAAAGTATATAACGTCAAATATTTGTTGCTATTTTAATATTCTTTCGAAGAGAAATGTATAAAGATATCCTTATGGTTAAAATTTTTTCAAACAGAAGATAACTTAAATATGAATTAATTGAGGATACACTGGGTGTTCTCTCAATTCGTCCCTAATTGGCTTCTCAATTTGTCCCATGGAGCTATTTTTCTCAGTTTGTCCCATCAACACTTCTCTCTCAATTCGTCCCGTATTACTTTACACTTACTTTACAGTTACTAGAATTGCTGGAGTTTGTATCCGTTTATGCTTAGTTTTGGTTCAAGTATTAAGCACCATTCCAGATGTAAGTGGAAGTGGGGATTGTGGTAGCATGAAAGCGCGCTACGAGAAAACGCTCTTTCAGATAGGTGGACTGTTTTCTGCTGATAATAAATATGCATATATATGTGAATACGGATACAGGCTCTGTCTTTCAAAATCGCTTGTGATTATTGCGCTATTTTGTTTATGGAACATATTCATTTTACTTTTCAACAGACTTTCTAAGAGATTGATGAACAAAAGTTTTTAACAGGATAAGCATCATTATGATTAAATTTTTTTCAAACAGAAGATAACTTAAGGTCTCCCATCCTGGGTCAGAAATACAGATTTTTCCATAAAAGGTCCATATTGAGCTACGCACGTGATTGACGGTCCCAGGGTGTCTCCTTATAGAAGCCATACTATTTGTGCCAATATCAAAGGTTTCTGAAGGATTCTGAACAAATCTTTTAAACGCCCTAGAAACCTGATTTTTCTGAAATTCTAGTATTTTGATGAAATATCGGAATCAAAAAGGATTCTAGTGACTCTAGTTCTTAGAGTAAACATTCGTGATTAAAATGAGACATCTCCCAGCACCGAGCGATGCTTTGACCAAAAGTTATGATAGTTTTATTAAGAGCCCTAAAAGGTGTGTCATACACTAGCGCCACTATATCTCAAAAGCGACTCTTTCCTACGTGTTAAACACTATCAGAAAGATTTTTCCGTCAAATTAAGCGCTAGAGATCAGACTTGTGATTATCAAGATGGATTTCTGACCCGGGTGCGTAGTGGCGTAACGAGAAAAACGACGATAATACGGTGGCGCCGTAATTTTTTTCAAACATCTGTTTAGGGTAGTGTAAGTTTTTTTTACCCGATTTTATACTTTTTCTCGGTAGCACGGCAAAAATTCCCGGTGGTACGGCGTCGCCCTACTGTGGTTACGCCACTAGGGGTGCGGGGCCTAAATATAAATTAATTGAGGATACACTGTGTAAATTGAATATTAATTATTAATATAATTGTAGTTTCTCAAACATATTTTGGAATAACTCGGAATATTATTTACCTCACATCTCTTTTAATTTCATTTAATGGGAAAAAAGAATAGAGATACGAATTTTATTGATAGTACTCTCCTCTCATATTTATGACTCTTCAATTCATATTTTTGCCTGCTTGTAATACGCTCTCAAAATTGCCGATGTACTCCTCAGCCATGTGAAACTAATACGGTCTCATAGTCCCAGTGCTCGATTTACTCACAGAGTCTCTCTTAATAGTCAAACTTCCTTACTTAGTGATAGAATTTCATTTTCTAAATGATTTAACCATCGATCAATTGGATTTATTAATCATAATTAAATATAATTGGATGTTAAATATGTTTGCAGTGAATTCAGAATATTTTTTGCTATTAATCTTTGTATTTCATGTTGATTTGTAAAATTTGTTAGTCACTCTACAATACTGGTATGGTTATTATTGATACAAGTTGTACAACTTACTTTGATTATACTCAAACTCATTGTGATGCGCCATGTTACCAATATTTTCTACTACATAGTCAAATTTTACCAACTATTGATATGCTATTAAATCAAACACTTCAAGTTTTAATTGTTCTTCTGTTCAACTTCTTATTAACCGTTTGTATTCTCTATCAAAAACGATGACTGAAATAAGAAAATATTTGAAAAAAAATACAAAAATTAGTTTCACAATTAACATCAATGTCATTTATTTCACTGTAAATCTGGTACTCCCAGTTGGAAGTTAAATGAGATCTTGAATAAGGGCTAAAAGCCATGGAGAACTTCTCATCAGATAATAAGCGGTTGACAAGAGAGACGGCAATTTTTGTCATTTTCATACAGGACAGAGAAACAACAAATAGTTGAGAGTGCAAATGAATAATGAACAATATGCTAACTTATGTTAATGGACAAAGCATAGTTTTAAATAAAAGATTGTTTTTTTAATTTTGTTCTTCAAAATTGAGTTTTTTCATTTGAGTTCAACTTTTGAACCCTATGAAAAAAGAAGAGTCTTCAACAAATTCTTCGCTTAATCAATGGAAACAGCAGTTGATTATATTTGTTACGACTCAATAATGAAAACTGATGAATTATCAATTATAACTGTAGAAGCACTAGTCGTAAATATGGTGCGTACCGCACGCATTCTAGCGGTCAGCTTTGGCTTTTGTTTCTAGACAAACGCGTGCTTTTGTGCAATTTTCTAGTGAAATTATTTCGAAAACTACAGGTGGGTTTTTCATCATTCAGCGCAAGCACAAAGAAGTAATATTCTAGTTGGAATGTCCACTTTTGAGGTCTGTGTCATCATGTACCGTTCGTGTGCTGCGAGCCCCAAACGTACGTCATTTTTCTTGAATTAATTGCTGTGAACGAAACCGATAAAAAAAAAAAATTAAGAAAAAGTTAATTTTTCCTATTAATAACAGAAAAAATGTGCCTTGAATGATCGACATTTTTCCTATAACCTTAATTATAAAATTCATTTATGTCGTTATAACAAGGAAATTTTTTTGATCACTACACCAACAGCTACATTTACCATTGAAGCATAAATGGACGTCCACGATTCATTTGAGCAGCTGCAAGATATTTACAAAGTTGTTTTAAAATATATCGAGGAGACAAAGCGATTTGACCGGGTCTGATGTTCTCGTTAAACAAATTCTTTCTTCTTATTCTTGCTTCTCTACTTTACACAGCACATTAGTATGCATCTGGTTTTTACTATCTTCTCTCACATTTATCCCTTTTTATCTTTTGAAAAGCGTATAATGGGTAAACACCCGATTGACGATGCTTTCTGTTTAAACAAAACTGGCCAAGGCGTTTTTATGCTAATTCAGAAATGCCTGATTGATGATGTACGTCTAGTTTGAACTGACTTCTGTGCTTAGATGTCATTCATAGATGATCCCTTTGTAATATCAATAATTTAACTAATTCGTCCATCAACAGATGCTGCACCCGATATCAAATAAACTTGTTATACCGTATGACCATAACGTGCCAAATATATAATTGCTGTCATACATGCTTCCTTATAAGTTAACGTTGCATCCATATAACGTTGTCATCAACTGATATACCTTGAAGTGTATGAAATTTTGAATAATGAAATTTCATTGGAATGAAATATTGGATTTTTCATATTTAATTTGTTCATTCCGTCTTTCATCAGATTAACATGAAGATCAACATAACCAGCCTTTAAGAAAGAATGAAACTACCTTGCAATCAAAGTAAAGTTTAACTCACTATTCAATTCCACCAAAATAATATTTCACCATCACCTTGGCTGAAATGTATATCACTCAAACTCAGTTTTGCACCAGGTACATAAACCGGGAAATAAATGCTTGAGCCTCGTGAAATATTTATTATATCAGTATTACCATGGCCTCGCAGTAGTACTGTCCGGACAACTTCACTTGCAATTTTCGTTTCCATAATGATACACTTTTTCTTTATCTAATAAACTCAGTTGTGCTTCTTTTTCATTGGGTAGTTGAGCAACAGGTTGTTTATGACATTTATCCGTGTGAATCTATTCCATTTCATGTCGATTCTATTCATCCAATAGTTTTTGAGACGGAGCACAACGAATCAAGTCCAGATGTGTCAGATCAGCAAACTGAACCTCTTTATTATGTCCTGAGGTAGCATAAATACCACTGAACTCTCAAATGGCGTTTCTGGCATTCTTATAATATACAGTTAGAAACCTATCATCATTATTATGATTAAATATTCCCGTAAAACCCCACATACTTCGAGCCAATGGCACAACATCAAAATATCAACAACGAGCACATCAACGGATTGAGCATCTTCGATTTCAACGGAATCCAATAAATAATGTATCTGAATTAAATCAACATTTTTCAAATCATTTTTAATTTGTCCACCAGTCCAATCCAGACATTCAACACGAAAAATATACCGGGTTTAACCGGAACAATGGATGGAATGTCGGGATGCCAACCATTGGGTAATGGAATGGACTGTTCAGATATGGCTTTTTTGTTAAATCAATGAGTAACAGAAGATTTGTAGCATACGATGTATTTGTATAAAAAATAGTTTTTAAAAAAGGAACAATAGTTTCTTAATAAACGCATCTTTTCGATAAAGTCTCTTTTTTTCCATTGTTATGTATGTTAACGAAAGTTAGAAAAGAAGAATGCTCAAACCAAGCTGATCAGCCATAACAAATCAAAGCCGATATATTGACAAATACATATACAGCATGTTGAATTGCCTAACTGGTAGGGTGTTTTCTTGGTTTCAAACAGTACATTTCTTCATATAGTTTTCATCTTGAAGTCTGTCTAAGCTGTCAGAATATCTAGAAATTCTACTATTTCACATAAAAAACACTCGTTACAACTCTTTTTAAAGAAAAAATATTTACGACATTTAAATGGCAGATATGAGTTTATTTTTCTGCTAAACGTATAAATACAGATCATCAAAAGAATAAGAAAAAAAGAATAAAAATTTGTTAATTAGTCTGTATGTTGATTATTGTTTTCTGAATCAATATGACGTTGTACCGTCGCTGTTGGTATATTAATGTCCGTTGGTTTTTTAAAGAGATTATCACTGCGACTACTATCTAATTGTTGTCGCTGTGGCGGACGTTTTGGTGCCAAATCAAATGAAATTAAATTACCAAATAAAATATGTTGTGCAATTGGAAATTTATCTAATACCTTTAACAGAAATTATAACTAGTTCTATTTTATAGGGTAAGAGCTTACAAAACATACTTCTCCATGATACATTTTTAACATTCCCTGATTAACTTTTGACCATTGTGCAACATTTGAAATATCATACAACGTACTTGAATGCTCAAAAAATGGACCTGTTTTAACCTAAATAAAACAAAAGAAAGATGTATCAGAAGATAGATAGATGATAAAAGCATACTTCATTAATATATTTAATTGCAGCTAAATATAAATAATCATTTGCATCGTGATCATTTTTATAATATCGTTCATCAACGGCTTGTTTTGGTTCAATATTTGATTGATCCGTAAATTGTGATGAACCCCAAAGAAATGGTAAAAATTGATAATCATCTAAACACCATTGACCTTTACTACCAGCTGGTTCTAAATAATATGTTCGTTGTAATTTACGACATAATTCAATATATCTAAAGAATTTAAAATAAAAATGAGGTTTAGCCTTCTTCTTCTTCACATACCTATTAAATAGTTTTAAGACAATTGCTTTGCTATCATCTTCTTTTAATGCTTCAATTTTACATAAACATAATAAAAATAATCCAAATGCCATTTCATGACCTAGAGAACAAAGATTATGCTATCATTTTAACATCTTTTATCCAGTACTCCTTCTTACCTGTTCCATAATCTAATCTTGTACTATTGCCAAATGAATCCAATAGATAGGGTCCAATTTCAATAATATACGAATGATATTCTTCTGGTAATGTTTGTTTTAATAAATTTTCACATTCCTGAACATACATTTACTTATGCTTACAGGTAGAAAAATTAAGAATCAATTACCTGTTCTAATTTTGTATGCCAATCACGATAGGCTGCATCACCAAATCTCGATCGACCTTTTGGCGGACATTCATCAATAAAATGATCTAATTTATCAATCAATTCAATTAATTTTGTTAATGTCTAGGCTTCACAAACAGCACGATTTAGAATACAGAAAAACAGCAAACATATACATACAGGTGAAATAGAAACGGGTGATGAATTTTTTAAACCATGTATTGCTTGATTTAATGACAAAACAAATGATGTATATTCTTTATAAGCCTAAAAGGCGGAAGAAAAAAACAAAAATGGTAAAATTGCAAAAAAAAGCAGAACGTACTTTTGATTCTTTCCATTGTTTCATATATGGTACATCTTTTATTTTTGTTTCTGGTTTAACTGGTTGTTGTTGTAACTTTGTTGAAGTAGGTTGTTCAAGTGTTGCCGTTGTCGTCGTCATCATAATAAATCTTAAAAAACAAAAACATAAACTAAACGCTGCTTAATCAAAAGCAGATATGATTTCTAATCAGTTCAAAAAGCTCGACAAAAAAAGAAATTCTAAATCTCAGTAGCATATAATAGACTTTGTTTGACTTCGAAGCTGTTTCTTTCTCTTCTTTTTTCAATATACATATAAATCATAGTAAACGGAAATAAAAAAGATGAAAAAAACTATCAGACTGTTTATGACTAAATTTTTGTTTTTCTCGAGCAAAAGAAAAATCATTGTTTTAACTTCTTTTTTTTGTCCACGATATATTTTGATGTTTGTTTTTATATTCCTGATAATAACATTTTTCCATTTAAAACAAACAATAGACATGCAACAAAGTTTCTCTCAACAATGAATAATAATTAAATAAACTGTGTATTATCCTTTTTACATAAACATAATCAATATCGTTCCATCTTGTTATTAACACTATTAAAAAATCAACTCAAAAAAACGTTCTAACCCAACGGAATAACTGTAGTTTTGACTAAACAGTTGAATTATGAGTCATCCAGCAATAAATAAACGAAACCCAACACTTTTTCCATTCCAGTCCAACGACAAACTGACAATTTTTGATGGTATTCCATTAGGTTGCACAACGCAACTGAATAAGTGTTGAGTCGGATGAGTCATTTTTGCTGAAGTAATCAACAGCAAACTACCATTTTTTTCGTTAATTTTTTCTTTGTCTATGATTCTTTCTCTGTCTGCTGCAGCCATAGTGAACACCAACCAGTGTGTCCTGAGCGGACAGTGTTTGATAACAACTCTCCAATTTATTTAATCTCTACATTTGCTATTAACCATATCCGGCCAACAGTGATTTTTATAGTACACTGCGCAAGTGCCTTCTCAATATGAATGAGACACTTATAGTAATTCACATTTCCACTGGGACGCCTTTTATGCTTGAAATGCTCTAAAATCGAACACTTAAAGTGTCTCATCTCGTGCATCAAAATACTGCTCTTCAGATGGTGAGACATTTTTTTGATAGTGTACATAGCTAAGCTTGTTTTGCAGTAGCCACCACAAGCCACTTTCATTCTTTTCTTGCAACAGCGGCTCCTTGAAGGCTAGCCGTAGCTCCATCACGGTCAAGATGCGTGTCCAATAATTCCTCTTCCGACAACCGCGACTATCAACGTATTCTCAGCTTGGAACGCGTTTACAGTCGCGCTTGTATAAGAAAATTATCAGACAGTTATGTTCGCACTCTGCTGCCCACTCGAGCCAAAAGGTTCCTATCCACGAACTACCAAGTCACTCTATTCATTTTCGCTCTTCAAATTATAGTTCAGATATAAAAACTAAAAACAGTTACTTCCCGATAGAGTGTCCATGACGGCATTCACATCAAGCATGTGGTCACGATAGCCGTTAAACGGCAAAATTTGGTAAAAACTAGGCATCCATCAATAAGTCTCTCCTATCATCATAAAATCTCCGAATTTCACGTTGATAGTAGAGATTTATGGATGCCTAGTTTTAACCGCATCAAAATTTCGATTCCGTTTAAACTATTCGTTCCACACTCAAAATTGTGACATGAAAAAATTGTGGTATTTGAGCTCTTTGGCTTATATGGTTTCCGAGAAGAAGGCAATTTAAAAATAGGTGTCGTGATTTTTCGAAAATAGCGACACCGTTGGTATTTTGACTCGAAAAATCTCAAAACTCAACCTAAAAAACTGACAAGCATTTCATTCGAAAGAGTACAGAAAACTGAACAAAATGTACGGTTTTACTTTTTGAAAAATGTTGAAATTGATTTTTTAAAACTTAAATCTAATGCAAAAATGCGATTTTTTAAAAAGTGAATTTTGCATTAACAGTTAAATTAAATGGTGAACTAACGTAGTCCCAACACCAAATTTTTCCACAAGTTAGAGAAAGAAATTCGCTACAAGATAGGCTGAAGAATGTTTCCGAGAAAAAGAGCATGACTTGGAGAAAATTCGGAAATAAAGGATGGATTCATAGTGGACAATGCATAGGGTGGGCTAATCAACTCCAGCTTTCGATATAAAAGCATGTTTCTAAAGCAGAAAAAAGATGATATTCGTAATTAGCGTCGAAAACTGCGCTGGACGATGTGTTTGTCTGATGGTGTTCCGAACACTAAGATTATTTTATGAAAAATGAAGGAGCATTTTCACTCGTTTTTTTCCTGATGAAAACGTCAAACTACGAGTTTTTAGAAATAAAAAACGTGAGCAATATTTTTTTTCAAGAAAACGCTATTTTTTAGTTTATTTTATGAAAAATGCGTTTAATATTTGGAAGACGATGTTAAATCGTTTAAACTATCAAAAATTCGTTTAATTCGTTTTTTTTGGTGAATAAAAAACACATTTATTAAAATCTAACGGGTGGGTCAGAAATAATGACACACTTTTGTTCTCTTTTCTTCCGAGCATTCCATTATTTTAAAAAATAGTGCAGAGTAGGGACAGGTAAGAAGTATATCCGCGATTTCCTATAAAAATTTTGATGGATTTTCGTTTTTGTATAACTTTTCGAGAAATCATGTGTTCCCTGAGAGAAGAAGGTGGTATAAAAATGTTCAACGGATTGAGTGCGATCATTCAGACTACGCTGCTTAGTCGTTTGGTCACCTAAATTATGAATCTTTCAGTGCATAAGTTAATCTGTACTTTCGGGTAATGTGGTATTTTGAAAAAAGCAGGAAAACGACTAGCCAAACAACGCAATGAAAGTGTGCGTTATTGAGTTTTGTAGAGCAGGAAATTTTTTAGCGTCTGAAGTCAGAACGAAGTCTTGAAACCATACGGGATATAGATAAAAATAGGTACATGAATAACCCCATCATTTCAGGATCTTAGCAGCAAATTGTTAGGAAAATTTTTATTTCTCAATGTGGATTAATTAAATGAAGACGAATTCTTTATGCAAAGTACCTGTGATGGATAGATAACAGAAGCGTTATTAAATAATCAATTAGATCAAGTACAAAAATAATTATAACCTATTCCTTTCGTTGCATTTATTCTTCTTACCTGTTCCTACTCTGCACTATTTTTTAAGATAATGAAATAATATGTAATGAAAGGAAGTAATGGATTTTGTAGAACAGAAAATTCTCTGTCGAATGTGTTTAGAATGGAATCTTTGAACGTCGGTTGTGCTCGGAAGAAAAGAGAACAAAAGTGTGTCATTATTTCTGACTCACCCGTTATGTACGAGAAAACACGCGCGTTTTTAATTTTTATCTTAGAAAATGCATTTGAATTTTTTTTAACGAGAAAAAAAATCGTTTCTTTCGTTTTTGTTTTTTGGTTTTGTATTAAAAACCTGTTTTTGATTTTATTCAACAAAGAAATCCCGTTTCCTTCATTTTTTCCGGAAAAAACAAAATTGTTAAATTGAAACTGAACGCGTTTTTACGCCCAAATCTTGTTCTAAAACTACTTGATCTCGTAATATTGTTGATATTCGAACGGAATGAATTTCGTTGCGCAAATGAACCATCTGCATGTGGTTTGCTGGCATAGGCCGTGCAAATTCAAATTCAAATCTTGTTGAAAGTTCATAGACGGATGTAACAAAATAGTTTTTTTCTCTAAACGCGAAAAAGATACTTCTTCCTCTTCTTTTTTTTGTTATTTTTTTGTTATTAATCTTACCAACTTCACATTTGCTTGTCCCTTCTCTTCTTCTTCACATATATATGAAACTATCTGTTGAACAATTAACGGAATAAAGTTTTGAACGTTTTCAGCTGTAAAAATCATGTTTAATTTCAATTTAACAATTTTGTTTTTGTCGGGGAAAAAATGAAGGAAATGGGATTTCTTTGCTAAATAAAATCAAAAACAGGTTTTTAATGTAAAACCAAAAAGAGAGCGCGTTTTCACCATTTTAGACGAAATAATCACCGTGTTTTCGTGTACATAGATTTAATAAACGTGTTTTAATCAGTAAACAATACTGAATAAAACTTGTTTTTGCAAAATTAAACGAAAATGATGCGTTTTTTGAAAAAAAGTTTTTCGCATTTAATCGATTGAATTCGCGTAGAATAGCTAATGTATTATTTTCAGTTATTAACGAACTATCACTGTATTAGATGTAGTTTTGGACATATTCTATTTAATGAAACAAGTGGTCTCCAAATTGAGTTCTGTTTTTTTAAGGCGATAGAATCAGGAGCCGTATTTCTTTTTTCTTTGGCAACGTATATAACACAGGCATGGGACTGACATAGTCATGTTGCAAAACGTATATTTTGGTTTTAGCTCTTAACGCATATCGGCACTTTCTATCCTAAGTTAAGCGCCGAATTTGGCACAGCTATCAGTAATTTTATCGAACTTATCAAACTCTTGTTTTAGTTTATCATTGCGCTTTTTTAGCCTCTATGAAATGGTTGTGATTTATTTGGTGTGACATAAAAAAAGTCTTAGTTTAATTGTCCTGACATTTCTACCTCTGACTTTATCATCAACAGAAAATAAGTCTTAATGCGAAAAATGACAACATCTTTTTCCCACACATCGAAAAATAAGTCTTAGCTCAACGATATCACCAGATCCCTCATTTTAAAAACTCATTTTGTGATAAACATAAACAGCATTCATATTTTTTACCACAATGGTACGGACATTCTTCTTCAAAAAGATAGTTAGTTAGTGATAGCTTTTCATTAAATGGATCTGTGTATCATAGGTGCAAATTACTTATTTGTTGTTAATAACTGAGTTTTGAAAACGAACGTGGAGTATGTGCAGAATCGATTAATGTATACGCTCGTGTAAAAGAAAAGATGTAAATTTTTCGAACATAGAAAATTTCCGGACTACTAACTGTAAGGAGATGGACACAATTTAAATAGAGTTTTTCTCTATTTCCAAAGATAGAGTTCCAGTCCACTTCAGAACAACCTAATACAAACTTTACTAGAAATGAGCTAACAGGAAAGAAATAATTGGTTATTAAAAGGTTGTAATTTGTTAATAACAGAAATAACTAGTTATGCTCTGTTATTAACACACGATACAAAATAAATAAATAATATGTTATTGTCTGTTATTAATGTGTTACTTATACTGAATAAAAACCAAAAAAAAATTAAAAAAATGCCAGTTAGACAACATCTATTCGTCAGACAGCATCGGTCTAATAACAAGTTATTTATTTTTTGTTCTAAAATTAAATAACTAGTTAATAACAGGCCAAAAAATTCTCCTGAGTGGAACGATATTTCTTTTATCCTCTCGAAATTTTCATCGCACAATCTTATTCATTTTTCTACCGATGCTTTATTACCCGGTGTGGCGTTGTTACCGATCAGCTTATTATTCTGTTCTTATTCATCAAAACGCTTTCTATACATATACTGGGACTTTATACAGTACTTGTGGCTGTTACTACTTTGTATGAGCCGAATTGGAAAGGTAAACATGTGATCTGCTATACAGATAATGAACCAAAGACACAATCTTATGATAACAGGTAATCTAAATACTTTTACGTGCGAGCTGTGTTACCTCTTTTACAATGTTGTCCAGCTAGTTGATGGATTTAATTTGCATTTATATTATACTGATTCTAAAACATACAGATGCGATGATATGACATCAATAGGATAAGCTCAAAAACTGTTAGACAAATTTCCTCATTTGAATAAATTAGATCCTTAAATGTTTCAGGTCCATGTTTTACATGTGTTATCATTTGATTGCACTGTGTCAATTATACAACCGATTTAATGAAAGTGTCATTTTAATTGCATCTACACATTATGAATTGAAAAGAGATTCGTAAGTAAGTACAAATTAAAATTTCTCCTTCTCATTTGAAATGATTGTTATTCGTTCAAGGGCAAAAGAAACATGGCTAAAATTCAATTAAAATTTAACTGGAATAGCTCGAAATAAGCGAAACAGATGGTATAAAGGAAGGATCCTCATACGGTTAGGAATCGGCCAATTCTCTTTCTTTAAACAAAAATGGTCGCGTATAAAGTAGAAAAGTATTCTCATTCGATTCCAGATAAAATCGAATGCTTTTATTCTCGAAAATCACGTTAATTTCTCGACAATATTATCCCAATCGGCACATGCAAAAATCATAAGTAGAAGACTTGGTCTTCTAGAGGTCAGGAACTCTATTACCAACTTTTCTCATAAAACGACGATATGCATCTCATTTGATAGAAAAATCTTCGAGCAAACAGTATTCGGATTTGTTCTAACTTTTGCTGAAAAATCAAAAGCAAAGGAGTTCTTATGATTATGACACACTGTACTGCATATATAGCACCCAAACGCTTCTTTTTCATATCTCTAATGACTGATCCCACCTATCTAGATATTCTGACAAGCTCACACCATATCAACTATCGACAATAAGTATATTTGAACAATACCGTATGAATATTTCATTACTTTTCCCATCATTAATATTATTGACAGAATAGCATTTTAAATTTAGAACATTATTTAAACGTACATGGATTAATGTTTATAGACGTCCGTCGAATTAATCATTAATCAATGGTTTTAACAACACAGGATATCAAATTTCAGATGTAAATAATGAATTCAGGTATGAAGTAATTGAGTATTTGTTAAAAGTGATACAGATGCAATGGTGATCATTCTCAGAATATTTTCATTTTATTCGAACTGAATCGATCCATTTCGAATTACTGAGCTCCCAAATTTGTTTTTGTGTCGAAATACTATGTGTGATAATCTCTCATTCGGTCAGCTGTGTAATGGACATCACGAATAACAATTTACCTAAGCACAAACGCTTAAGCCAAAATATCTAGATACAATAGCTTTAGAAATGATTCATGCTCCAAAAACCAATCCAACTAAAAGAGTAAAACAAATCGATCTACGCAGGGGGGGGTGAAAGAATAGAGACACGAATTTTATTGATAATACTCTCCTCCTATATTTATGACTCTTTAATTGATGCTTTTGCCTGCTTGTAATACGCTCTTAAAATTGTCGATGTACTTCTCAACCATATAAAATTAATAAATCATTTCGTCCTAAATTCGAAAGCAGAGGCATCAATACAATAAACTTTGACAAAACATCAAAAACTTAAACAGTCATTCTATATCGACAAAATAAGTTCTACGTTAAGATGTGAAGTGATACTCGGTAGTGATATACATATATATTGTAGAAGAAAAAAAGAAGTTTAATACATAAAATTGTGTGTATAAAATAACAAATATAAAAGAACCACTTTATATACATACATAAAATAATAAAGAGATGAGAAGATCTCAAATATTCCTAGTAATAAAAAAACACGTTTTATTGACAAGGTATAAGATATTCTTGATGTTTCATTAAAAAACGAAAAAGAAAAGAAAAACTTTTCTATTATATTAGTAAGGACAGGGTGAAACTTTATTTTCAACAAAAATCTTATTAATAATTACCGAAGACAAAAACACAAGAAAGGAAGAAATACTCTTTGCACTCGTAGATAATAGATGCAAACCACAGTACATAAAAAATGGAAAGAAAGTACATATGAAAACATTTTTAATCTAAAACCATAAATAATAACTGCAAATAATAACTGCAGTATAAATCTACCATTAAAACATTGACATGCCTTCAAAAACAAAGTGTCATGTCATGCGTTTCGTGCAAAGAGTTGAGATTTCAAATTCTAAGAAAAAAAATTTTTTACAATGCAACTACTCATCAACGAAATTTCATTCATGCTTATGTTTTAGAGAGCTCAACAATTTAAAATACTGTTTTTATCAGATTCTCAAGGTAAAACACAACAGTTGACTAGCTTAACAGTATACAATAGAATTAGAATAACATTGAGCAATTTCTGAATGAAAGGGCATCAAAAAAATGGCAAGAACGTGGGTTAATATGCATTTTTTTTTAAAATATTCTGTTTGTTATTGGTAATGTTTCTGCTGGCTCTCGTCTGTTATCGAAAAGATGATAATCCCAATCTTCTGAATTATCTATGGAATACGTAAAATGTCGTTGTTTACGTTTACGTTGTAAATAAACAAATGTTAAACCGATGACAACCGATGCGATGATCAATAATAAACCCAAAACAATTGATATTTTCACTAATGAACCACTAAATTTTCTCGATATCAATTTTGATGATTTGGTGCGAGCTGATGAGACTTGTTCTAAAAAACCAGATACAAAAATTGAAGTACATTAATTTAACAGTAGTGATAAAACAAACATACTTAGACAATCATTTGTTTCATCTGAGCCATCGTCACACGATCGAATACCGTCACAATATAAATCTGAATTGATACAATGATTTGATAAACAACGAAATTGTGAAGAATTTGTACAAGGAGCTAAAATATTAATGGTGATTTTTCCATTGAATAAAATAAGACAAGTGGTATATTACCTGATGATACTGTTGTAATAAATAAATCAAATTCTGTTAATATGTTGTCGAATTCGCATAAACTACTCTTGATAGGAGATGTGAAATTTTCCGTTTTTGAATATAGTGTATTATTCTGATTCGTATAAATGCTCATAGGAATAAGTTGGTGATTAGTATCAAAAAATTGAATAAACGATGATGATCCATTTGTGACGTATGTAGAATTAATATTAATTAATAGTTGTTCATTATTTAAGACGGCATACATGGTTATATTACAACACTGAGTAGTATCGGAAATCTTATTCGGCTGAAAATGAATTGTTGTTGTGGATGAAATGTTGATTGTTCGATTACATAACGTAATGTATTGTACTAAAAAAAAACAACAACATTAATAGCATTTTTCTTAACTAGGTAACTCAGCAGGAAAAATTTTAAGGGATTTTTTCTTGGAGTCAAACTGTTTGTATAGAGCAGATTTCACCTTACGGTTAAAACAATAACAACAGCATATACTGTTGTCAACTGCACATAATCAACTATATAAACGTATGTATTTAGAAAATATGAATGTGATGTCAAACGTGTCACAGGAGCAAAGAGGTAAGATTTATTATGGCTGAATTTACGTACAAGAAATAGCTGGTTTACTCAGAACATTGTGGATGATCATTAATAAAGTTAAACTAAACCATTCTAGTTCATTGTTCATCGTTTTCTTGCTTTTGTTTGTGTTTTAGTAATGTAAAATCATCTCGGTCAAAAAAAGTTCGATAATTTTCTGAAATAGAGAGAAGAATACAAACTACATTCTTCATATATACACATACAAAATCTTCTTTTTGATATTTTTTTTTCAGATTCTTCCATTCTTTCTGTTGCATTTTTTCTTTTTTGACACATTGACGTAGGGCAGCATGTGCCTTATCATATGTTATTAGAGTAATTCTTCCACTACTACTATACGTACGCATGCACTATAATGAATGATTCAAGACGAAAATTATTCAGAAGAGAACGACAAAAAAAACAGAATCAGCAAGAAAATTTCAGACAAATCACCTTTGTAATAATCACAGAATTATTTTATATTCCTTGACACTCACAACATTTTAGGGAGAACGTAGACATACACAACACACTATCGAGTTATGAGCAATTTGTTATTCATTCTTCGTCCAGAAAAAGTGCGCAAAAAAACTTCGTTCACACCTACAATCTCCTGGATGTTTTTTTCACATTATTTGTTCAAATCAGACGAATAATATATACCGAGTACATTTTCTCTTCTTCTTTTTCGCTCTATAAAAATGAAGATGCGAAGAAAGAAAGATAATAAATACGTACACAAATAAGGTATGTCGTTCAAATGATACAACATATACAGTCGAGGTAAAATTGATTTAAAATACTTTTCATATTGTTGATTGTTTACCGTAGCAGACTGTACCGAAGTTTTTGCAACTTCTATACACAATTTCGCAATACCAACTTCAAATCACAGATCACATACTCAGCGTTGTAACAAGATCAAAAATCCTTGGTTAGAACAAAGCTCATTTCCAACACAAATAGACCACCCGAAAACTTGCAGACAGTGGAGCATCATTGTATTCAGGTCGTCGTGTTAATTGACACCATTTGGCAAACAACAGACATGTCCTTCTTTTCTCACTAGAATATGCCATAAAAATATTGGGTCTAGGTCGTTTTCCCTCATTAATAACCGTTCATCTTGTTAACTTCCGCCGCTTCTCATAATGTCATCTCTTGTTGTTTTAAGTCATAATTACCTATGCCCACGTTCAATAGGATGTCGATTGAAAAATGCGCTGTCAGTTTAAAGACACATCTCAGTAAGTATATTGAAAAAAATGAAAACGGGAAATGATGTGAAATTTCTCTGATCATGTTAAATGTAAAACTTCCATCTAATGAATTACCTAAATGAATACTCGAATACCAAAAACTGCACAAAATAAACAGGTTTTTACAGTTGTGATCACACCATTAGTCACAACTAATTTAATATGCAACCTACTACGGTTAAATCCCTTAAAAAATCTTTTTCGAAATATAAAATTTTAATTATCTCAAGCTAGCTCTTATAATAAATGGTTTGTTGAATCGCTAATAAATGTTATTTATACTTAATATACTGTGATGGAATAAAATAAATCAGCTGTTTTAAAACATTGAACCATAATTGTTTTGTTTGTTCAACAAATGTGAAATAGTTAAAACAGTCTAGTTGGATAGACAAGAAGAAGTAAATATGAGATCATCCTAAGTTGCATACTCCTTTTATTAGCAGTTACTTTCTACTGCAGTATATACCTATGATATTTTCGCCGTCAAAAGCGCCAACTACCGCCACTGCACATGATTTGCTCTTACGAGGGAAGTACCCCAACTGATAAATCGCTTTTTGAACGAAACGTAGTGGACTATAGGTAGTCGACGATGCTGATTCCGAATATCACCATGACTGCTACTGCTAGCCTTCAAAAACCGGTTTTCTGAAAAAACAGTTTTCGAGAAACTAAAGAACAATCAAAAGCTTCCTTAATGAGGCGTAATTGTTATCCATAAATTTCTGATTAAAGCGAGGCATCTCCAAGCTCTACACGACCTTTCTTTACAAACTTATAGAGTTTACAAGAAAAGCCCTAAATTCATTTCTCTTTCTGTAGCTCTGAGGTGACAATGAACATTTAGGGCTTTTCTTGTAAACTCTATAAGTTTGCAAAGAAAGGTCGTGTAGAGCTTGGAGATGCCTCGCTTTAATCAGAAATTTATGGATTACAATGACGCCTCATTGAGAAAGCTTTTGGATGTTCTTTAGAGTTTCTCGAAAACTGTTTTTCCAGAAAACCGGTCGTTGAAGGCCTAGCAGTAGCAGTCATGGTGATATTCGGAATCAGCATCGTCGACTACCTCTAGTCCACTAGGTTTCGTTCAAAAAGCGATTTATCAGTTGGGGTACTTCCCTCGTTAGTGTTTAACTAATAAGGAAAAAAGTTAGATCAGCTATACGAAAGAAAGAAAAGTTGTACGAACACTGTAAATTTGAAAAAAGAAAAGTCTATGATGTTTTTACCTACTTCTCTCTGAATCACATACAAAAGTTCGTTCTCTTATTGAGTAACATCCGTGAAATATGTAATCACGGAGTTTTCAACCTGGAAGCTGTCAGTCAGAAAATATGGATTAAAGTGCGTGAAAAATCACGGGATTGGCCGACAGCTTCCAGGTTGAAAATATTTCACGGACGTTACTCAATAAGAGAACGAACTTTTGTATGTGATTCAGAGAAAAGTAGGTGAAAACACCACGGACTTTTCTTTTGTCAAATTTACAGTGAAGTTACTTTATGCCAATAATAGCTACCAATAGCAGGTAACTTCAGCAGTTGTTGAAAGCTAGCTGCCAGACGAAAAAATGTCCAGAGGTCAAATATGACCAACTAAATAATGAAAATTTCTCAACTTTAGGTGGTTATTTCTAGTAATAAACTACTTCGTAACTCAAGTGTCAACCAAGTCTCTTAATAAAAATAGTGTTCGTGAGGAAATAAGAAGAAGAAGGGTCCCGGCATATATAGGTGGAATTTCGTCGAAGAAACTGAATGATCAATTTATTCAATACGTATCACTTTTTTTGCTCCCCTTTGAAAATCAGCGGCGCCATTTTTGGCAGGTATTATTGGCAAGTAATATAACTTCTTTCAACGAGAAAGAAAGATTAAGAAGCTCGTTTCACGAAAAAACTTAATGTAAGTCTGACTTAAATGCATTATTTAAGCCTAAATCTAACGCAAAGATAAGTCACACTTAAGTTTTTCGTGAAACGAGCTGAAGATGACTTTGTCACTTAGAGGAGAATCTCTCTTCCTCTAGTTTATCCTCGATGCTGATTGGTTAAATGCTGGGGAAGAATAGATGATTCATTCTTTCTGATTCTTTTATACAATCCTTCATAAAGGCAGAAGATGAAGTTTCATTGATCGAAAAATATTAATAAAGATGTGTGTAAAAAATTTTTTTTCTTTTCGCTTCAGGCTATATGTTATCATCATGACCTTCTGTTCTCTTTAGCTATAGTAAAAACGAAACGAAACAAAACAGAACAATAACGTTTCCTTTGTTCTGTTTTTTCTTTTTTTTCTCCCTTTCATAGAAGCGAATGAGACACGTGCTATATATGCGGAGTACAGTTCTATTACGGGGTATTATAGAGATAGAGTTTTGGGCATTTTTTATGGCATCTCGCGATTTTGACGGCATAGTAGATCTTTGCTTTCGATTTTGAGGTGATATTCAGATAGAGCATGCAAAACTGCATCGAAATGTATGAATGACTTCGTAACACCTGACCATTTTATGGCATTAAAAATTCAAACAAAAAGATGGACCATGCCGCAGCCGACTAAAATCTCATCGCCAAATGACGTAGAACGAACTGGTAGAAAATACTTCTAGTAACCCCCTAATGCCTTTCGAATCGAAAAAAGTCAAAAAAAATCGTGGGCAAAAAATGGCTTTGTGTTCTTTTACCCATGGGTAGACATGTCGATAATACTGAATACACACCCATCGAATATGACCATCATCTGGAATAAGGACTCGATGAAATGCGTGGAATTAAAAAAAAGAAATGACATCTGTTTGTTATGTATTATATAATTCTTGTAATTTACGAGAAATTTCGATATTCTGCAGAACTTTTGATATATGCAATAGAAATCTTGTAAATGCCACTAGGTAAATGCTATGTTCGACTAAGCATAGCAGTCGGCAGAAGGGGACCCTTTCTACAATGCTGCAATGTCGCAAATGGGAACACTTTCCAGCGCACATTTTCACAAGATTAATTTTCTGTCTAATCAGACGCGAACTAATGTGGATTTTTCCATGGTTTCAGACCTGCTCTTTCTCACTCAAAACGACTCGTTTAGACAACACAGTGAGTTTCTTGTAGCAGATTTCTTGAAAAACAAGTTGGAACCAGGGAGCATTTTTCTCTCAGGCACTATGAGTGTACGCCAATTGGATTAGTTAGAAATGCAAGAGAAAACATTTTTCTGCACTTTTGCAAAACAAAATTGGCAAGAAAACGTTACACTTTGTCCTAACTGTACAAAATTTACAACGAGTCCAGTTAGTAGGGCGAAACTGAATATAAAACAAAAGAGAAAAGGTCTTGATCACAAAGGCTTGAAATGAAAAACTTATCAGTTGTTTCTTAACTGATAGACTTAAACTGATTGCAAGAGCTACAAAATGGCATATTCAATCTTTCTCTATGCGACGAAAGTGCGGTGAAAAAATAAAAACAAAATGTAATATTGGTTGGAAAATGCTCCCGTTTGGGATATAGCAATGTTGACAGCCTATGAATTCACGGTTATTTTTTGTGCGTGCCCTTTTCTTAGGGTTTTGCAGAGAATTAAATAGGAAATCTTTTGAGACTACGCTCAAGTCTCTATAATGAAAACTCACCGAGATATTCACAGTATCATTGTTTATGTCGCACCCGTTACAATTAGCAACCTCTAACCAGTACAAGTGGATCAAATGAGCAGAGACTTTAAATTCGCATCTTATGCTGAGTCGAAGTAGTCAAAAGCAAATAAATCCATGTCTTAGTCGTCGAAAAGACTCCCTCAATAAGATTCTCGAAGGATTTCGCTAACTCCGAGGAAGAAAGGACAGGAGATAAATCTGTCAAATCAACGCCAAATCATTTTCAGAGAAAAGTTTTTATCGGTCGAGAGAAGGTTCCGTGTAGAACTTTTTTTTACAAAAAGCCTTCGTAAAAGGTTTGCTGCAGAACTATTTTTAGTTCTGCTATTTTACTCGGCCATGTGTCGAAGGATCAGTATTTGTTAGAGCTCACTTGTGTTCACCGATATACAGTGGGTCAGGCAAGGTGGTGAAGAGCGATTCATGATTGTCGACACTTACCATGACAATTGGTAGCTGGTGTTCGAATTGACTCGTACGAGTGATGCGTGGAACATGACAGATGCAGTGACGCCTTTTAAAACCAATGCCATGGGTACTGGCAAAGAATCTTCTCTGTTTTATCCGACTCTATCGATGAAACGGTTCTTCTCGAACAGACAACGCTCGATGTCAATTCTGAAAATTGGAGAAAAATGGAGAGCATGGGGTGTGTTGTCTCCGACGATCCAAAAGATTTGTGACGAATATGTCGATGGTAGAAAAGTGTGCGAAGTGGGTGGAAGACAACTTATTCGCTTTTATACTAATGTTGTCCATCAATGATATACAGTTACTCTCGATGTTTTCCGAAACTTTTAATTATCATGGTGAAATTGTTCCGCGGACGTCTTTTTTTCTACTGTCTTAGTTTGTATATTTTTCAACCTCTTCTCTCTACTCATGAATTACTAATTTTCTATTTGTCTCTTTTACCATTTCAGACTTCCATTTTTAACTGGGCTGAACTTGCATGTGTGCGGTTTCTTTCCTTTTATCTTAAGGTTTCTGACCATGATTGAGTGTGTTGGATTTTGGAAGACTAGGAGTAGGAGCAGAGTTCACCTGTAGTCAAAATGCTACAAAAGTCGATTTTGTCGAAAGCCAGCATTTCAATTTTCTCGGTACCTCCGAATAGTGTTGAGAAAGATATCTTATATATTGTTTTGTAGAAGAGAAAAAGTTCTATCTTCTTACGGGACACGCGTCTCAAACTGTCGATGTGTTGCAAAGGTAATGGCAAAATACTGATTTTGAGTGTTTCCAGAGAGGTGTCACCCATCGAAAGATGAGTCACCGAGTCTTGATGTTTTGGAATTTAATATAACTTTGAGTGAGCTTCCATTTGGTATATTCAAATCGCAAAAACAAAAATCATCATGTTTTCACAATGGTCAATATTTTGGCGAAACCTCTCTTAAACAACTTTAACCAAGCCTTGTCTCTCACCTCGAATGTCGAAGTTATCATAAAAGAGAACGCAAGACATTTTTCCCCAACATGGGTTCTCAGACACTTTGTCTCTTCACGTTCTCGGTTTTGCATCTCGATTACTTTGTGAAATAATGAATCATTGGGTTAAAACCATTCACCTTTTTTCATCCACTATCTGGCGTACCGAGAAAATTGAAATACTGGCTTTCGACAGAATCCACTCGTCTTTTTCATTTCATTTGTCGAAAACCAGTATCTGCAAAAAATTTGAAGATCAATCCATACTGAGTTCTGCTACATACGTCTTACTTGTGCAAAATATTAAACCGCTAAGCTTTACGAGTGAAGGAAAAGTCCATTAGAAAAAAAATAAATCTGAGAATTCACTTATTTCGAGTGGAGTAGTCATGCACTTGAAACGGGTTGGTTACCTATCACCCACTTGACCATTTCTAGCAGTGTTTATATCCAACGATAATTCATGGACTGCTTCTGATTGATCGAAAATTGTCCATTATACTGTGAAATCACAAATGATTCTAGCTGCTTCATGACCGAATGAAAGCACTTGAGACAGTACGCCTTTCACTTAAGTTGTCCTTTTATTTCAAACGGTACCTGTAAAACAAAGACAAAGACACGAAATACGCTTCAATGGCGATATTTTCACTGTAGGTGGATCGATGATTTCAACATAGCTTATCTTGATCGGATGAAGAATAAATGATATGACCGCATACATTTATATTTTCCTGGTAAATTGATACTTATCACTAATGGTTTTGTCACAGATACTAATTGAAATAACTGCTTCTACCAACATCTCTCTCATACTGATTGCTGTTGGCCTCAGAGCCTCTCCTTTTTTATATAATACGAAAACAAGTTGAAAATCTTGTCGCAGCAGCCCGGTCGAGGCTAAAATGTGGAACTCCTGTGAACTTTATATTCGAAATTTGTATTGTTTTGTAGAAGAGAAAAAGTTCTGAGTGAAAAGACCAAAAACACTGAGGTTATAAGTATAAACTTACACTTGTCCTTCCTTTGGAAACTATTGGGAGGAGTTCCATAATAGTTATTTTTTATACTTTCGCTTATTACTATTTCAAATAAACAACGATTTAGTTCTGTACCCGGACTGTCGGACACAATGAGAAAGATCTAGGAGTAAAAACTACCTTGGACTTTTCACGATAGCTTTTCTGTGAGAATTATGTAAAAACTTTAGTTCTGTTAAACTATATATCAATTTTACTTATTTACGTACAGGCATTATACAATTATATGGCACTACTTATAGTTCGTTGCAAACATTTGAATTTTTGTTAAACTTAGCCGAACCCTACGAAGCACTGTGTAATGCACTAAATAATTGAAATTTTTTTTCATACTGGAATCAATGTCACACTGGAAATTTTATAGTTAGAATTTGGAATAGATCAAAATTCATTTTCCACCACATTTACAGTTGATATACAGCGAAATTTTGTAAATCACGATAGAAATTACAGTAATTTCAGTTTTTCATGGTGGGAAGTCCGCTTGTTCACTATGCCATTAAAACCATTGAACTGCTACTAACAGTGCTTAAAAACATTCTATTTAATATCATACATATTGTTTTTTTTCTAAAAATGTCGTTTTAACTGACACGAGCCCCACATAATTGATGCTCTATTGGGTTTATAAAAATTGTTCTCATCTAGTATAATGTAAGCGGCATGCTTTTTGTTTTCTTTTGGTTCAAATATTGACAGTAAAGTTTTCCAATTTGTTGCTTTATCCACGAGCGAAAATTTAATTCGATCCACAACATAAAATAGTGTCATATACCCATACGATGAAAATTCCCACAAAAGCATTAAACCTTTTTGACATGTTAATTTCTCACCGACTGAAATAAGTTCTAACAGAATTAAGATTTTTAGTCGAACATTTTGAAAATATTTTAACATCCGAATAATAATTCGTACTGGTATAGGCATATTTAAATCAATTTCATTTACTCGACAAATGATAAATGCGGCTAAACGATATTCTTCATATGTATCTACTTTATATTCATCTAACAGTTCAAATAATAATGATAAAAAATATGTTGTATCCCATAGTTCATCACCTGATCGTTTTTCACATCCGAAATAAATAATGGGCAATATTTGTTCATTTGTTGTTGTCAATGCTTGTTGTGTTAATAATTCTTTTGTGTTTGTAGTTGTTGTTGATCGTCTTCTTGCTACAGCGGTTTCTGAAGTAATTAACGATGAACATATTTGAGTTGATGTTTCGATTGTTTTTGACGATGAACGTTGTTTTTGTGATGTTTTTTGTCTACTCTTTTTTGGTAAAACATTGACATTTGAGTCATCTACTTGCTGTTGGTGTTTTCTCAGACGAAATGGACTAATATCATCAATTTCAGTCATTAATTACTTCATGATGAGTTTAATTATAAGTATAATTTAAATATGTATTTATACTATTCTTTTCTAGATTTAGAACTTTATATGTCTGATTACAACAAGAAAATAAAAAAGAAGAGTTTTAAAGTATGATTATAAGCAAAACTCAAATACAAGAAGTTTTTGAAGGTGAGTGTAGAAATATCGACTCGATTTATAAAAATTGTATGGCGCCTTCAACGAAAATGTAGTCATCCAGTAGATCGCCAATCAAAATTTTCGTTATACTTATTAATCCTTTTAATATTGATAAGACATTAATGTTACATATCTTCTTTTCATATTCTGGCGCAATTGGTAGAGAATAATGTATAACATTGAAGTATTGATAATCACGAGAGTTGTATCATTCATCAGTAGATTTTGTTTTTTAGTTTTAAAATCACTAGAAATTTTCTTTCTGAGAATCATTAGGCACTTTTATAAAGGTTTCTTATCCGTTATTTTGAGGAAAGGATTTTAATGTTACTGTCATGTACGAGATCGCCACATGTCGCAGAATGATCGATAGGTTGTGCTTTCAGTCATTTCTGCAATTATTCAAAGTCTGACAGGGTGAAACACAAAGTTCCCAGGAAAAATAAGATCCAATGTCAAACCAAAATGAAGTGAGATCTCGATCTGGTGCAAATGTTTAGAAATACTCTAAGCTACAAACACGTAAGATGTCGGAAATCTAAAGTTCGAGCAAGGTTTTATTTCCATTTATTTATATATGACTGGACAGAGCGCATCGAGCTAACTAAGATAAAGTGCTTCTTGATTTTTTAAAGGAAAAGAAAGGAAGAAAAATTGAAAACATTCAAGGGGTATAAAATTTCTAAGAATATATAGGGGGTATAAATTTTTTTTTAAGTTAGAAGAACGAAAAAGAAAAGAATATGAATTCTTTTTTAAGCTGAAGGGTTTTTCGAAATTTTATACCCCTCGAATTTTTTCAATTTTTCTTCCTTTCTTTTCCTTTAAAAAATCAAGAAGCACTTTATCTTAGTTAGCTCGATGCGGTCTGTCCAGTCATGTATAAATAAATGGAAATAAAACCTTGCTCGAACTTTGAATTTCCGGCACCTTATTAGGGAATACATAGATTAGCTTGTAGCGTCAGCTGTTAAGTATAAAATAGTGGATAACGCACGTCTCTATTTATTTGTGTTCAAACGAGTTATTCAGAGAGTCCAAATACTGAATATATGAGCGCACAGTCTGCTAACTCAGAACTACTTCAATACTAACCCTGCGTGTCTGTGGTCATATAGTCCACTTTTGAAGGCCTCTGTGTTGATTTACTAAAGGAAAACTTATTCAATTCACCATTAGTGAGTGACTACAATTGTATGTAGAGATATTGGTTGCCTCGCCGCGAAGAAAGACAAAGGCTCTCGGGTCCGATATGTCTCTGCCGATGACCAAAAGTGACTAAACACTTTTCCAAGAAGAAACTAATTTTTCAGAAAAAATTCTACTATGAAAACATATTTTTTTAGACTGTCGGAATAATGTGAGAGGACGTCCATCATATAGTATTAGTAAATTACATGAAATTGCAAATGAATTGATTGGGTAAGTGGTCATGCCTTTTTTAAAATCGATTCAAATAATTTTTCTCTGTTATTGTAGATACATTGAGTTTTCTAAAGAAATTCGAAAAGAATTCGGTAAATTATTATTACATGGTAAATAAAACAAAAAACTAAATCTTTTTTAGTATTCTTACCGTTAGTTAATGTATGTTTTTTTATTGTAGTTATTGAAAATGAAGTGCAATTATTTGATGAAACTAGTCAAGATATTTATGCTAATGTTCATCATCAAGCAATCTTGTATTCAATCGATTTACTTTGCAAATATATCATGACATTAGAAAAACTGATTATCAACGATGATAATTCGAGTAATGAACAATCACAAGTGAGAAAATCAATCAAACGAAAACGAAGTGATTCTATACGACATGTAAGCAAGTGAGAGAGATGTATTTATTAAACAAGATATTTTTATTTTCTTCGTTTTTCTTTGTAGAATACGCTTACTGATGACGTACAAATAACTGAATATGTTAATGAACGAGAAAATGCTTTATATTCATTAACAAAATTAATTAATTTGGATTTTGCACAGTTTTGGGAAGATGATGAAAGAATTGACGAAGAAGAAATTGGCAGGTAAAGTTTAAATCACGAAAAGATATTTATTACTGTATCTTATTGTTTATTTAGTGCTGTTATTGACGTTTGTTTGAATATTATCGAACATAATACTATTTCACGTTCACGAACAGTACGTGATTATATCATATTTATTCTATCTTCATCGATCAAAAAATTCAATATTATTGAAAGTATGTAGAGATAATATAAAACAGAAAAAGTATCTTTTATTATGAGTTTTATTAAAATAATATCTAGGTACTAGTCTGAAAATGACACAAATGTTACAACTTCATGAAAATGCCGCTACAATATTTTCATCGGTTGTTGTTTATAGTGTACAAAATTTTCAAACAGATTCATTATTAGAAAAAGTAATAAAGTATGTATAAGAACTATAAACTAGAAATGTGAACTCTTGGATAAAATTGATTACTATTTAAATGTATATTTTAGTGATATGTGTCGTTTAAGTAAACGAACAGATACTTCATCAAAAACGTTTGCTCAATTTTTAAATGAATTATCAAAACATATTCCCGATCATTTAATTTTATATATTGATACATTAACAGAACTATTTGATAGTGATTGTATTCAAATGAGAAATTGTTTATTAAATATATGTGTTGATATTATTAAATATTGTAAGAATAATGATAGTAAAGATTTACGAAAAGATTTACTATTACTTATTATTGATCAATATTTTATTGATGTTAATGTTCATGTTCGTTCACATGCTCTACATTTGTGTTCTGGTCTCGTAGAAATCAATTTATTACCAATTGTATTCTATTGTCATTTGGCTAGAGCAACAATTGAAAGAATGAATGATATATCATGTATTGTCAGAAAATATGCTATACAATTGGCAACAAAATTAATTAAACATAACCCATATACAAATGAAGTAAGAAAAAAATGCATCAGTCAGTCAAGATACTCACATGCTCCATGCAGTCCTTATTACTATAACTAACACGTAAGCGAGATAGACAAGTGAAAATAACGTAATAATATTACATTTTTCGATCCTCCTCAAATATTCATTCATAGTGGACAAAAATCTCACAATACATCAAAATCTGATGGCTAAAATGACATGATATATTTTCCTTTCTTCTAGTTTTTACCATTTAACGTTATGATTGATGAATATACAACTGAAATGACTAAATTAATAGTTTTAGAAACAAAACTATGTCATATATTAAAAATAATAAATGTAGCATTCATCCCAACAACGTCTTTAACATCAATCGATGAAGATGATGATAAAAATGTTCTATTTAAAAAAATGATTTACCAACAGCAGATTGTCTGTTCATTGTATAATAATAATGATAAGTTTGTTTCATTTGAATACTATGATACTGAAATGACTAAATTAATTAAATATCAATTAAAATTAAATTCATTATTAATGGTGGAGAATAGTGATGATGATATCTTAAATAATATTAAAAATCGTGACTATTCATTAGATGAGCGTAAGGGTGAGTATAACAAAGTTATCATCTACCATCCCAAGCAAAAACGACCCAATTTTTTGGGTTATTTATCTAGCTTCAGCTCCACGGATATCTAGATGCATGTGGAGCTGAAGCTAGATAAATAACCCAAAAAATTGGGTCGTTTTTGCTTGGGATTCAACGATAGTTTATCGTACAGATGTATAAGTATACATTTAGTAGAACACATTTAGTAATAGAATGGCAAACGGAAAAGCCACGAAGTAAGTCACTATTGTGGTTATTTCATGTAACTGGTATCCCAGAATAAATAAGCCTCTCAGTATTTTGCTTATAACTTGGTTTGGATTTATTTCCGAGACTCGATGTTTGTTTTAAAAGATGCGCTGCGAAATACTCTACAAAATTGTGCCTAAAACTATAATTTCAGAACTTCAATCAAGAAAACTAAGTCAATTAGATGAAAGTCGAAAAACATGAAAACTTTTCAAACTCAAAAATGATTTCTTGTGTTAACGTTTTGAAAGTAAGAAAAACTGAATGAGCCATTTTGTAGCCTTGACTTCGCTCTATCTTTTAGCTACATTTCAAATTTTTTCACATCAAAAGCTACAGCGAAATAATAGTTTTTCTATTTGTTTGGGTATAGTAGTGCTTTTAGTAAAAGTCCCATAACTCCATAATAAAAGCTTTTTCGGTCGGGTTTGTTTTAATCAGAAATGATTGCTCGTCTCTATCTAACTGCAAAACCAAAACTTCAATCATGTTTTCCGTGTCTTGCTTGAACACATTGTTGGAAACGGGGAAGTTGTCAACTTTTAACGTATTTTTGTAACTTCGTTCTCCAGCACACCATCTGCTCTAAAAAATTTTTTTACAGACCACGAGAAAGAGCACATTTGAAAATACCAAACATAAACTGAATTCTCATTTTTGCTACACTTTTTAACGGAAATAGTGACAAAAGAAAAAGTTCAAGTCGGAAAAAAGTGAGTTTGGAAAGTTTTCATGTTTTTCGACTTTCATCTAATTGGCTTAGTTTTCTTGATTGAAGTTCTGAAATTATAGTTTAGGTACGATTTTGTAGAGTATTTCGCAGTGCATCTTTTAAAAAAAACATCGAGTCTCGGAAATAAATCCAAACCAAGTTATAAGCAAAATACCGAGAGGCTCATTTATTCTGAGCCACCCGTTACCTATGGCTTTAGTATTCTCATGGGGAAATGTTTGTCTAAATTTTATCAATGCACTTGCATCATCAACTGTCGATAATTTCACTAGCAATCCTGCTTGAAAATATTTACGAACATATGAACGTATAAAATTCACACGTGTTTATCACATATTTCACAACTTTTGCTCGTAGTGACACGAATAAATTTCACAGAAAATCTTTTGTCAATGGTCACAAGTAACAAAATTTGTTTTCAAGCGTATTTGCATATCATTGCACGATACTCATGGATGTATACGCTGTCCCATCTACCAAAATAAAATTTAAGTTCAAAGATAACATCGACCAAAAAAGTTTTCTTTCATTCGTTTGATAAAATTCGACTTTCGCGCAGAATCGATCCGTAAAAATAAAGACGTTTTCACGATAAGAAAATTCCGAAGAATATTTTCTTCTGTCATTATTTTTCATCGAAAACACTATTTTTTTAAACGAAAAAACTATGGATTAATGTTTGTAATGAACGTACAAAATATGTTGACATACTCCACTTTTTTGGTACTACGAGCAGAAAATGAACATTGATGATAACGTGACTTTTCCCTTTAAAAATGAAATCCTTTTCTGTTTATATTGCACTAGTCGTTATTTGTATTTTTTGTCATTTAGAAATTTTAAATGATATGATTAAACAACAACGTATTGTTTGTTATTTATATAATGCCATTGAATTTTGTAATTTATTTCGTCATTTTTTAAATGGTGAATTAGTTTATTTACTCAAAAGTAAAATATCAAGTGATGTTTTAGAAATAATTGAATTTTTAATTGTATGGTCATCGTATGATTCATGTTCGGATAGCTATAAAAAAATTGAACGAAATTTATTTTCATTGATATGGTCAACAGATAAAAATATTACAACAGCAGTCATCGATGCATTCAAACGGATTTGTTTGAATGTTGATACTACAAAAATAAAAGATGAACGGTAGGTATTTTATCTAGGAATTTTTGAATAAAATAATTTAACGGATATGAGAGAATAATTGTTATTCTTAGTGTTTTTTAAATAACTCTTTTATCTTTGATCGTGTACACTTGAATATTTTTCGTAAAAGATTTCCTATTTTCATTTTGTATAAAAAAAAATCATTTTCTATACACTGTAAAAATAAAAATAAAGTATAAAGAAAATACTATGAAGATACTATCTTGACATTTTTCTAACTCCAAAACACAGCGAAAAAAACAACTATTTCGAACAGAGTTTCATGCAATAAGGTAGAATTGAAATGCATGTTCCAAAGTATCTTTCTTTTCGCGTATTCTTGATTCGTTTTAAACGTAAACAATTTTATTAAAATGTGTTAGAATGTGATAGGAGAATTATTCTGCTTTAAGATAAAATAAGTTTGGTCTTAAAATGTTTGATTTTTGCCGAATTATAGAAATTTCTTTTATTACTCTAAAACTACAGTTTGAAAACAATGATTTTGGACAAACTCTGCTTCACCCGCTTGAGATTACAAAGAATTATAAATATAACCAGATGATATAGCTTTTCAAGAGTTACAAAATAACTATTTTCTCTTTCACTTCTCTTCTAAAACTGTGGTTTGGAGTTAGAAAATTGTCAGGATAGTAGCTTCGTAGTATTTTCTTTATACTTTTGTTTTATTTTTTACAGTATATAGAAGAATGTTTCCTATGTTTGTTTGTTTTTGTAGAGAATGAAAGGTACAATCAAAGGTAAAAGAGTTTCTTCAAAAAATACTAAAAATGACATTTATTCTTCCATATCCGTTATACTAAGGTCATACCAAAAGTACTGAGATTTGTAGCTAAAACCCATAGAATAGAATTATTCAAGCTTTTACTTCATCAAGTGTTTCAAGTGTTTGAGCCATAATTACCCACGCACAGTCAATTCATTTCAAGATCCCTCGAAGCCGAAGGGTTGTAAACAAAGAATCCGCACCAGGTATAGTTTGACGCGCCAAGTTAGCCTCAAAACGTTGTTTTCTGTCTTTTTTTAAAACACATAGTCGAATAATCTTGAAAAATACGTAAATGGGGAAAGAGGGCAGACTGAATCGAAAAAAACCTTCAACAAATATCTTGAAATGAATTGACTGTGTGTGGGTAATTATGGCTCAAACACTTGATGAAGTAAAACCTTGATTAACACTATTCTATGCAGCTTTATCTATAAATCTCACTATTCTTGGTATGTCCTACGTACATTGTAGAGTCTATTGGTTTATGGACTAGTAGTCTATTTATTTATTTTTAGCATATTGAATAAGAACATGATTAAAAAGTTATTATTACATATTGATATCAGTTATGATATAACATTTGAACATATTTTCAAATGTTTACTCGATCAAAAAGAGATTAATAAATTATTTCTGGATGTTCTATATGATTATTATCGAATGATGATTGTTGATAATAATAATAACAATAATAATTGTATAACTGATGATTTTTATCTCTATTTAACTAGTGATAAACATCGACAATGTTTATTTCTCAAACTTGTGTCATTAGTTATTCATTATAGTCCAAATATTCTATGGAAACATATTGATAAAATTGTTGATAATCTTTTATTATTAAACTCTCAAAATGATGAAAATACTCTTGTTTATATGCGATATCAATTAGAAATATTGTATCATCTTTCTTCAACACATTTAAACGATCGTAAACAATTGACATATCTATTTTATGATACAATCATAAATAAATTGATAACTGATACAACATCAACAGATAATTGGATATCGTGTATGAAACAATTTTTAAATCTATTATTTATTAGTGAAAAATCAAAAACATCATCAATTGAAATTGGTATTCGATTTATTGATTTTATAGTAGAAAAATTACGTTCAACATCGATAAATTATACTGAAGATAGAATAACATGGTTTGAAAATTTAAAATGGAATAAATATAATAAAACATTATTAATTAAATTATTAGCAACTGTTAATGTTTTTCTGGTTAATCAAGTACGACAAGTGGAAACAAAAACAAATAATAAAAATAAACAAACAAAAATGAATAGAAATAGATTAGAAACAATTGATGATGAAGATTTATTTATGGATGATGATCTATGTATTGAACATAAAAGAAAAAAATCGTTAAATAGTGTTTCTTCTCAAAAGTCACGGTCATCCGTAACAGTTGATGATGATAATGATGATGATGACGATGGTGATGATGATGATGATGATGATGATGATGATGATGATGATGATAATGATGATGAAGATGACGATAAGAAGGATAAAATGAATTCGTCAAATGGAGATGAACAGGAAGATAATGAACAAATTTATTTTCAACAACAATTTGATCTAATACAATTAGAAAATGAAGATTCACTTTTGTTACTCGTAGAAAAATGGTTAGAAAATGTAAGTGAAACACGTTGTTCAATCATCAAACTAATAAATAATTTTGATTTTATTTAGTTTTTTATCGATATAAACATGAGTGTAGATCATATTGAAGAAGATTTGGGTAAGTAAGTAAAGACAAAGTGTTTTATGTTATTTATACACTGTTTTTATTTGTATTGTTTAGTTCTTGTCGCTATTATGACCTTAACTCGTTATATGTTTGTTTCACCACAATTATGTTCCAAATATATTAGTCAAACATTTCAATTTTTAAATACATGTCAATATGCCGATGTTCGTTCAGCATTAATTGTTTCATTAGGAGATTTATTACTGAGGTAAAATATTTAACAAGATCAATGTGTAATGAAAATGTCACATTATTTTCTTGTTTCTTCTTCTAGACATCCCAATATTATTGAACCATATACACCAGAATTTTATAAACAAATACATGATAGAGATACAAGTGTTAGTGAAACAACATTATGTACAATAGCTGTATTGATACTGAGAGAAATGATTAAAGTTCGTGGATATATTAGTGAAATAGCCATTTGTTTATTTCATTCTAATACGTCTATATCCAGTTTAGCTTATCATTTTTTTTCGGAATTATCTACGCGTAATCGTGGACTGACATTGTTTAATGTAATGCCTGATATTATTAGTCGATTATCAACAATGAATAGTGATGACAATAATAATATGAATTATAATCGTGTTATTAAAATGAATGGTACAAATGGAAAATTGATAACAATTGAATTGTTTCATCAAATTATTGCTCATCTATTTCAATATGTTAAAAATGATAGACAATGTGAAATTCTAGTCAAAAAATTATGTAGACAATTCACATTGTCTTGGTAAGTAATGCAATTAGATAATAATTCGATAGAGTAGTTTTAACTTTCTACTTTCATGAAATGAACATTACAGTTTTTAACTTTAATTTATTTCTGTTTATGTACCAGTTGTAGTTGAACAGCAGTTCATTGTGATTGTGACACTGTAGAACTATAAAACTGCTAAAAGTTAAAAACTGTTGGATGTCATTAATAAAAAAGTAATTTTATTCTCATATTGATTCTCTTCATGAATCTTAACTAAAGATGTGTTTATATACAGTTTTCTCGTTACTGTTCACCGTAACTGTTGCACACCTATTTATTATATCATTGCATAATTCATTACAGTAAAGTTTCAGATGATGAAATTGGTTTTCTATCAGGGTATGAAAATCCACACTCCCTCGTTGGGATAGAATTACTCAAAGAAAATTTTGAAGTATTTACCCTAGTGAATGTATTTGGAATCAAGTGCTTAACTACTTGCAAATTTTCTAAAGTACTTGGTTAAGCATTTGTCAAAGCATTTTTAGATTTAATATGTGCCAAGTGCTTGGAAGAACTTCGAATACTTGCGTATATTTCGCAAATACTTACCAGGTTGCCTGCCAAATACTTGATGAAGTACTTATCTAGTACTTATACTTGTTAAATTACTTGATAAGTACTTTTTTTACTTGCAAAAAACTCCAGGTACTCTGGACATTACTTACCTAAGTACTTTTCTAAGTACTTGGTCTCAAGTACATTCACTAGGGTAGAAACTTTTAAAAGTTTAAGAGTTTAAGAAGAAACTGCTTTTTACGCAGCTGAGTAAGTGAGTTTTTTCCAGCGTCTGAGCCAGTCATTTTTTTCCCATAGATGACAAATAAAATTTTGCGGTGAAATGGTATGGAAAAATTAGGAACTTTGAGTTTGATAAAACTACAGGAATTATATGTACTAATAAGTAACTAAGGAATTATACGTACGCTGTTTGAATGAAAAATATTGAAAAGTAACTTGCTATTTGTCAGAGAAATGTGTGGTTTTCTAACCAGATACTGACTAGAGCTTGCTGATTCGCTTAGAGGGGGATGACAAACCAAATAATTTTATATTTCCCTCATATGTGTGAACGTCAAAAGTCGAATTCATCGTACGGCTTAAACGCTATTTCTCACATCGTCGGTAAAAGAGGTGGGATG